TAATGAAATGTAATATTTACAATGTTACAATTAATTGACTGTTTTTTAAATGCTGATGCTTATTTTGTTTATGCTGATGCCTATTTCTGTAACAGAATTAGTTCCTTGCACTGTAAAATATGTTAACATTTTAATTTATGTGGCCTTAAATTCATCATTAAGATATATCGATGATGAACTATCACTTCACAATATAGATATTGATATAGATATAGATATACGTCGATATTCAATAATATCTCGGTGAGCTTGAAATAAATGATACCACAGAGTCTGACACATCTGTTTCATATTTGGATATTTTTCTTGAAAAAGACGTTAATGGTAATCTAACACCAAGGTCTTTGCTAACTGTGATGACTTTAACTTTTCAATAGTCAACTTCCCTTACTTATGCAGCAATATACCTTCATCACTTGCATACGGAGTTTATATCTCTCAGTTGATTCGATACGCAAGAGCATGCTCTACGTATGTGCAATTTCTTAAAGCCGCTTGGTCCGATTCTAATCACTAAAAAAATATATTCGTTTTTCTTCTTGAAAAATAATTGTCCATAAATTATTTTAACTTTTGTCAAATTATATCCCCAAAGTCTTTTTCTTTTTAAAGATATCAAAATTCAAAAGTTAAAAAAAATAATTTTTGTAAGGTCACATAAAAAATAATCCTTTGTTTACATTGTGTGAAATCACCTTCGAAAAATTAAATTTATCGCTTACATGTATAACTCATAAAGAACAAACCCGAGCATTTTTTCCGCAACAAAGTGTACACACTAGCCCTCTAAAAAATCTTTAAAAATATCTTATTTTCCTTTATTCTGTAAATATGCATATTAAAATAAAAATTACTATGGATTATATTCAGTTAATTTCTTAATTTTTAAATGATATATCATGACTTAGGATATTACTAAGGCTAATGCTAGTTCAGATCACGCAAAAGAAGGTCGCCTTTCGGAAGGCCCTCTATTTTTTTCATTTTAGTTCGGGCTCGTGATGCAACAACAACAGAGTTAACACTAAGCGGTGCACCAGTTAATAAGCGCAGATTTTTGTGTGTGTAAAATGTTTATACTCGAGTAATAAAGCAATATTCAGCAACTCTTTTTATTGTCATGTTACTTGTCGATTCCGCGTAATCTATCTTCATGATCTTATCCTATATAAAAATGAAAAAATCCCTCTTGCAGGTACATGTATACGTATGCTTTTCAGTGATGATATACATGTATTTACCTCACAAAAGGACTATATTTGTATTAAATATAAAAAAAAATCACCACCAACATCAAAACATTTCCGTAGAAATTGAAATTACGAAATAAAATTTTCTACTTACCTGAATGCGAGAAGTGTAAATTACAAAGATGATGGACTTTGATGACTGAATTAATATTGTACACATTTAAAATGAGATGGCTCTTGCAACAACGACTTATTTATCTCACAACGCAAGAGATAATGTCTTTCTATACTAAGAGTGTTTTAGATGTAAGTATGAAAACCTTGTAATGTATTCATATTGCTCAGTTGGCTAAAAACGGCTGTAAATAATACTTTCAGTTTAAGATATAGGAAAAGTCAAATTTTATATTTCCTCTCAATTTGAGCTCCTAAAGATTCTAAATACTTAATAATAGTAGTGGGAGAAAGACTTACAGTGTAAAGCTAAATTCTGAACTGTAGGAGTTAAATATAATTTACTTGTATTTCACATGTTTCACTATACAGATGAAATGAAGTGTATTCTAAAATGTATATTAGGAGCAAATAATGACTTAATTATATATTATCTATGTAGTGACATACTTTTATTGTTTAAGATAATATGTGCCTGTTTCGGATGAAGCGGCTTTAAACGAAGTAAATCACTGACAGACAAGTTGATGAAAAAGAATATCAGCAGTCCCGTTTAAAGTTATCATTTTGTAAGTTTTATAGTCGATACACTGACCTTGTCAGCAAATACAATTTTTTATTGAGTCAAATGCTGACTGACATTTTCATATTGATTGTTAGTCTATTATTAACATCCTGAATTAACGACGGATTTTTCTGTTATTTCCTGTTCATGACAAGGAGCCCACGGCGGGTATGACCGGTCGGCAGGGGAAAGTCATTCCTCCATGGTACCTGATCCCACCTCTGATGTTTTGGACATTTGTGTTTGCTCTGTTTCTATTTTGTATTGTTTGATGGACTTTTGAGCTTGAGTACCGTTCGTTATCTCCATATATTTCATAGACTTTCCTTTATATGTCAATTCGATATTTTACAGTGACTTTAAAATGAAAGATACATGAGTCTGACAGGAATTTACCCTCATCACTTGCATACGGGTTTTATGTATCACATTTGATTAGATACCCAAGATCATGCTCTACCTACAAACACTTTTTGTGGAAGTTATTGATAAACCAGTCGTTAAAACATTCCACAAGTTCCCAATCATGACCTGATCCAGATTTATATATAATTTATATGAAAATATAAAGGAAATACATAAAAAATGTTCTAAGAAAGATAATACTAACAGAAAATAGAGTAGACAATAAGGTTTATACACAGTCTAAGAAATGGAATTCTAAACAGATATGAATATGAAATGTAGGGATAACAAATATTATCAACCTAAAAAGTTTCCACTCATGAATGACGTCTACTAAATCTAAAAAAAATAAAACAAAAGTAGTTTTAATAAAGATATAAATAAAAAATGAAAATAAGAAAACCTCGATAACATGCGTGTCTCCTGTTACAAATATCAACCATCAACAACAAATGGAAATTTGATTTATTTTTTTTAATAATGACGGAAGTTAAGACATCAAAATATCAATATATTTTATTTTAAAGCAGCAGAGATAGGACATAGAGGTTCATCAAGATTTATTTTTCTTCCATTCTAGACGACTGAAATTCTGAATAAAATCTATGATTTTATTCCTCAGTTCAGTTTAACTCATCGCATTGTAAAAAGGATGATAAATACTGTAGATTGGCAAATAACCGCGACGGTTTTAATTTCGTTATGTTCGCGATTCATCATTTTTCTGCGAAAATAAACCAATCGTGAATGCTATCATAAGCTATTAAAACCGTTTAAATGATAGTAAGAAATTTTCTTATAGCATGAAATTAAAACCATCTCGATTGGAACTTTTTTAGAAATCATGAAATTTTAACACCGTGGAATTAAAACGACTTACAGTAGATCGTAGCGAGCCCATATAATGTATTTTGAATAAGTTTTTATTCAATCTAAGGGTATCATCTTTAACTTTAACGACGTTCGATCCTGATATTTAAAGTCTTAAACTTTTTTGCCAAGTATATTTTTAGTTTTTACATACTTGGCGTAATTAAAATTCAAATCAAATAATGGGGGTCAATATGCTTCTTTTGGCGCTACAGTTCATTGAATATGACCTTTTTGCACTGAAATTTGTGTCTTAATTAAAATTTAAATCTTTTCCTTCCAATATTTTATCCAATTAAAGCACGAAACAAAATAAACTCTTAGTCTGTTTAAAAAAGACACTTTAAAATTGTGACTAAGAAAAAGTTTCACATTGCTTCACATAACCAATTATTTGGCCTTTCTGCACTACATGTAATAAAATGTAATATTTCTGGCATTAAAAATTTGATAAGCATGAAAATTATTTTAAAGTCTTAACCTTTTTCTGATTTTAAGCAAATAGTTCAAAGTTACCTTGAATATTTAGAAAAGAACATCAAAAGTAGGGGTGCATGATGTAAATTTTCAGATATTACTAAAAAAGTGTCAATTTAATGTAAAATTGGCTCAATTTTTTTCCAGGATTCTCAGGGTATATTTACTATATTTGTCACACTTTGTTGATAGAATTCATAAAAAATAATTCAATAGATATTTCAGAAGCAGCATAAACATTTCACTGCAAAAAACAGCTTTGTTTGCAACCAGCATGGAAAAATAGGAATCCAAAATTAACAGTACTGTTATAGTTCAAAATTGAAAAACTGATCATTTTCGTGTATAAAATCTTCCGCCACAAAATATAGTTCCTAGCTTAATTCTACTTGAATGGAATTTAATCGCTGTTTTTTCATTGAATATAGTTAAATTTGCATTGTGGAATTTAGATTTAATGTAAGAACTTACAAATGATGCAGAATTTTTTAAATAAAGGACCTGACCAAAATACGCTCAAAATGTCAGGATCAAACGTCCTAAAACAAAACCAGAGGTACTGTGAGTTCACTTAGAGATACCCTGGCAAAGGTCATGTTTTGTTATGGGGAACCCTAAATATGTGACCGATCTAAATAAGATAGGAGGTGCACAATGGCGGTATGGAACAAAGAGGATGTAAAACTTCATTAAATTTCAGAAGTGTTTTGTACTTACTTTATCAACTCTTCAACTTACCTCCTATATCTATTATCATATATTTGGTCCCTCTTTCGGACAAATGTCCGGAGCTTCTATGGTCTGGAAGATGTTGGCAGTATATAGATGCTGCCTCTGGCTCCAGAGCAATAGACAACAGTTCACCAGGTATCCCAGCCTCAAATTGTTAAATGATTAATAAATACGGAAAGAGTTTTAACGTAAAGGTTTGCAAAATAACAAAGAAGAACAATGCAAACTACTTACAAGTTCTGCGCATTTACGCATGAATTTCTTTGCAGAGTCGCTCCATATAGCAGGGACCGTTAGCACCCATCGAATTTCACGTGTTGTAATATCAATCCCCTGCAATGATAGTCGGTCCATCAGATGGTCCTTTAAAGCTTTAATGGATTTTGTGAACACATCTTTTGCTGGCCATGGTTTACCGGAAATATCAGGAATTGGGGTATCTTCTTTTAAGAGCTACAAATAACGTCGTGTATCATTTATAATTTTTTATAACAAAAATGTAAATTTATTTTTACTTCAAGAAAACACTGGTTTATCAAGAAGAAGAATTTTTACGACTACTTACATCTCGGTTGTGGAGTTTCATTTTAAATCTAGAGAAGAACAAATAATTGTCGCTGTCTCCTTCCATCACCAAACTACCATGTTTGTTTTCTGCTTCGTAACCAAAAGAAACAAATTCGCCTTCAGAGTCCAGAAGAAGAGAGGTGGGAGTCTTCATAGATGCCAAGGAACTCCCTCCAGCATTCCAGGCCTGATTGGCGTGGATCTTAAGGGGACTTTCCCTGTATTCAGATCTAGAGCTAAAGGCATACCCTGAATACGTCGTCACAAAATCCAGAGCAGCCACAAAAAGATAGTCGTCAGATCGTATCCGATTATTTGAGTTATAAGTATCCATTCTTTCTTACCAGAAAACAAACTTGATTAAGGTTTCGTCAAAGGTCAACATATTCAAAAATTTATTTTTACAATAGCCCCAAAACTATATGAGGTATAAATTTAAACCTTTTACAGTTTATCAATTTTTCATTGATTAACAGATAGAAAGTTTCACTTGGTAATATATATACTTGGAAAAAAAAATAATTGAGAAACATTCTTCTTAAAAATGCACATATTTTCAAAAAATACAACTAATTAATTCCGTGCTCTTAGTGAAAACTATTATTGCAGAAATAAAATATGTTTATCAATGAAGGGTAAGTTGGACTTTGATAGTCTCTGGAAAGTTGTTTTCCCTGTTTATTTTGTCCAAATGTTAAGACTTGAAAGTGAAAGTACATTGCAAATGGCGGATTCTATAGGGGTCTTGTCTTTATACATGTCATGCTTTCAATAACAGCCTTTCAGAGACCATTCATGTTCAACTTGCCCTTCGATGATAAACATATATTATTTCTGCAATGATGGTTTTCACAAAAAGGACATTAATAAACAGGTGCATTTTTTTTAAATATGCACATTTTCTGATACAATTTTTCTCAAAAAAAAAAAAAAAATCTTTTTAAAAATATTTGTTTTCAAGTGATACTTTCTGTCTATTAATCAATGAAATATTCATAAACTGTAAACGTTTTGACTTTATACCAAATATAGTTTTGGAGCTATTGCAAAAATAATTTTTTAGACATGTTGACCTTTGACGAAACCTTAAAGTCAATGTAAGTGTCAGAAATATTTCTCTTAAATGAGCAAAAACTTAAATGAAAAATTTGACATATTGATTGAAACTAAAATGGGTTATTGTGTAGATTTAGATTACAATAAATGCAGTGCTTACGTGTCCTCTTCAGAAGTAGGGTAAGATAAATATAAGTATCCAATCGCAACTTCTCGGGCCTTTCCGACTATAGCGGAAAAACGACCTCGAATGTATATGGTAGACGCCATGACAACCCTCCCTTTTTATGATCTTTGAAATAAATGCATATCTGTGGAATATGGAATTTATTTTTATTCAATGTCATGATATTACCTAAAATATACCATAGAAGGGACTTCTAACTAAATCCTATACTTGAATAAACAGGAAATGTATAAATTTTTAACATCCGGTGATGTTAATACATAAGAGGTTGTTTTTCCGACCTCTGACGGAAAGACCCGAGATGATTCGATTGTATAACTATCTTCAACCTTTTCTTAAAATAACCAGATACTACTGATAAGCCATTCTTTGTAAAGAAAACGAAAGTAAAAAAAATAAATATAGTATATTACATATACATTGTTAATCACATTTTTGAAAAACATTGAAAAAAAAAACAGAAATTGCACCTGTCATCCTACATATAAAAACCAATAACTTTATAGGTAAACATTCACAAAAAAGTTTATATTTTACTAAATTGAAGCTCACGAATCCGTGAAATCCTAGCTGGCGGCAGCGCATAGTAATTTTTTTTTACCTTTGTTGCTGTAAAAGTATTTCATAATTTGTGATGATTTCATTATTTTATCCCGAAGGACACATAATAATTTCTTCAAAACAGATAAGGTAAAAGGTATTTCAAATTTAATTATTTAATTAAACAATACAGAAGAACAAACATCGTTGTCAAAATTTGATTAGAAAAAAAATTAAAGTGTCTGTCGTTCTTTAAATGTTTATATATGACGGCATGAAATATTTTTTACCCTTACATGTCAAACTTCCGCCAGAGTTTGTACCAAAACAAAAAAGTGCGGAGACGTAGAGGACTATGGGTAGTATGCCTTACATGTACCAATATGGATGGGTTAATGAAAAAAAGTAATTGTGAGTAAATGTAATTAACAACGTTTACTGTCGGTACCATACAACTTATTTATGCCTCGTGTGTCCTTTTCTTTCAAACACGACCATCATTGAAATGAATCTTGATTCATCAGTCCAAAGTTCCACTGACAATCTTTGACACTGCAATCTGTTGTTCATATAGCAGACTACACAGGACCCTATCCTCTTGCAAGAGTCGGTCCATCTTCGCGAAAAACATCATTTTGAATCACATTATGTAAATAATTATGATTCACAACATTTGCTTATTACTTTATATTCTGTATTTTCTTTTATTTTTATTGATTGTCTTTTATATTTTTAAAATCGGGCGACTGACACGAGATGGCAGACAAGATTTTAATACCAACAATCAAAGAATAACAGTAGTTTGAAGAACATTTTAGTAAAATCAAAAGATTTAATTCTATAAAAAAGAAAACATTTTTCTCTGGGGAATTATATTTTTTAAACCATAATTTAAGTGTATGTGTATTCATTCTATCATTTACATACATGTAATCATGACAAAAAATCTTGAAATTTTCTTCATTTCAAAGCATTCCGATTAACATGTTTATGGAAAAGCATCTTGGGCTAAAAATGTTTCAATTAATGCACACATTAATTGGGGAAAATGAGTATATTAATACACATCATTGAATATTTATCAAAATGAAAGTTATGAAAAGATCCTTATACCTCAGAATTAGTTTGGTAAAAAATAGAACAAATTGTTTATATCAATGAAATTTTCATTTCAACGTGAAGAAAAAAAATATATTACAAATTACCCAAATGCCAATAAAATGTTATTGAAAATTTCATATTCATATTTCAATTTATTTCTTCGAAGCTTTATCCATGTTCGATTCAAAATCAGCACTTCTCCATGATCCGGAGGTGGTGTGGGCATTACAATGTGTAGTCTTCGATGGATGTTACATTTAAAACGATTATTTATAACAATAACAAAAGAAATTTGAAAATAAAAAGTAATAATATTGAACATAATTAAATTCAAATTAATGAATTCAAATTACCAACAAAATCAAATGAATACTAGTATATAAAGTCACGACATTTGGAAAACATAAAGACAGCAATGAATATGGTAAATCATAAATATTCAAGTTTAAATAGAACTACAAACAAATTTTAAAATGAAAACGTTATAGAGGAATTGTTCAATAATCTGATTGACATTTCAACATTCAGAATATAAAAATCCTTTAGAAATAAGCACACAGATTTATATCCCACTCTAAGAAAATTCAAGTCTAAAAGTAAATGAAGGCTTAATAATCTTTTTCCCAAGTTTTTTTTGCCATTGTCTTCCAATCTATGAAAAAATTGCTTAGAGCCATATTTTTACTTTACCACGTCTCCTCTCACTACCCCTCTCTTTGTCAATCATTATTCGTTTTCCTCTTCATTCTCAAAATCTTTCATTTTCAATATGCAGCTTGTCGGAATTTTAGTTACAGCATCTATAGCCATAATTTTCAATTCTGTGTCTCCAAAGATGTAAACAACAATGAATGGTTGTGCTTCTCCCCCACCTTTATTCAAAATCCCCATCAAACGAGTTATAGGTAAAGGAACGTACAGTTCTCCAAGTAGAAAACATCCGGGATCATCTGTATATTTCACTTCCTTTTTGGGTGAGCAAAATATTTGTACTAAGGCTCCATCTTGAAGGCAAGAGGCGGCTGAATACCCTTGGACTTTTTCCTGACCTATTTCCACCTCAGTTCCCGCGGAAAGGATCACACTGAAACAATCAGTACAACGATCGACACCCTGAATTGTTATTTTCTTGTCTTCTCTGTGAATAGTTGGATCGAAATCGGGACATACTCCAGTACCGTACGTAAAACGCAAAATTCTTGATTTAATGAGGGTTGGATCATGACCGAAGATAACAGCTCCTTTCAGCACCGCCAATCCTGCCTCTGGGGGTATAATCAACCGAACTGAATCAAACGCCTTTTCAACCTTGGATTGTATATATTTGGAATCAGCTGACCCCCCAACTAACAAAATAATGGTTATTCCATCTGTCTGTGGATTTTGCATAATTTGTTGCATATGCTGGATAAGTTCTTTAATCGATGGATCGAAAAACCTCTTTATGGTCTCAACATCTATATGCAGTTTGTCCAACTTCAATCGCATTCCCTCTACGTTCTTGAATAACTCGACCAAAGTCTTTCCTAAAATTTTCTCTGATAACTCATTCAGTGCAACATACGAAATTGTCATTCGAATAGGGCCTTCGCTGTCCGGTGTGAATGTCCGTTTTGCAACTTCGAACTCCCTAAAGATATCGATGTATATTTCTGTTTTCGATTTACGGAGTGTTTCCATGACTTTTTCTCCAGTATATCTGTAAGGCATTTCTCGAATTCTCTGTCAACCGCTGTTCCTCCATATGCTCCTCCAGAGGCTTGGTGGAGTTCTCTCAATTTCCCTGCTTTGACTTTTTCATGAACAGTTATGTCAGCAGTGCCTCCTGTAAATAATATATCTCAGATTCTTCTAATGTCATAAATATATACGTATATAATAAAGCTAACTCAAAATATAGATGTGCCATTGAAATAAAAGTCATTGAAATACATGCAATACATTGAAAAGTTTTAACATTAAAGTTTTAACCGGAATTATTTGTTATTTATTGAGGTTGCCAAAATTATTTATATTATTAGGCTTATAGTATTTTATGTATCAAATCCAAAAGTAATTATAAAAATAAACATATAGATATACACCACTGCAATTACGATTTAGTAAACGTATACATGTACCCTCCTTCAGTATTTCCTAATTTATATTACCTCCTATGTCAACAATCATATATTTTGTGCCTTCCTTTGTCATTCCAAAACCTTCCGGGTTCCTTTCGATGGGAAGAAATTGGCAATATATAGATGCTGCTTCTGGTTCCAGAGCAATTTTCAACATTTTGTCCGGAATGCCTGCCTGTTCAAAACGATGTTGTTAGTTAAGAACTTAAATAGACACGATACTTATGAAAATTGATAAATGATAATATCCTTACTAACTTTAATAGCACATTGTCGCATGTATTCCTTAGCAGCATCACTCCAGATTGCGGGAACCGTTAAAACCCATCT